ACTGACCTATGGTTCATGCAAAACGTCGATGAACAGCTTTCCCATCTGTTCTAGGCCAAATAGATTCAGTGATTCGAAGCACCGCTGTCCTGGTGGATCGTATCAGAGAATAACAATGGCAAACAAGATTGCTTATTCGATTACATCACCCGACTTTATGCACACAAATGTTTTTGATACAATCAATCCATACCAATACTGTGAAGTTGACATTCTACTGCTGTGTTTAATGATCTGTCTATGCTTATGGCGCTTTCATTCGCCATAGCTGAATAATCCCATGTGCTATACAATATGCTTGTTTGATTAAAGTACATAAATGATTAAGAATGATTAAACGAAATGTTAACATCTCGCGACATTTGTCTCCTTTGTATATTGATAAAATGAATAACGGGGACCCAATGCTTCAGATTCGAATTCCAGCCAGAATGAAATCGGTGACAATTGAGGGAACCAGGGGGGGGGGACAATACGGAAAAGACAGAGTGAAATTTAGATTCACAAATAATGAATAATTGTTGGACCGGGTGCAACGTAATTTCCGTTAATATATTGGATGAATTGCGTGTAGAACAATCGAGTTGATTAGCTTGAACTATGACCATTTCAGAGTTTCAACAAATTGGTTTTCTGGGCTCAAATCTACTTGTGTTATCGCTTTCGTCATGGACCCAACCCACACATTGTCAAAGTAATAAAGCAGTGTTTAATTGATCACGATTCCTCATGCACTTATCGCGGTCGCTTCGTCCTCCTAGTGTAGATCGCTAGAACGACAGTCGAAAACCGATGAAATGTTATCTCCGGACTCGTAGAACAAGCTCTTTTCTCTCCCTCTTTCTCGAATGGTTTCCACTACTCCGTCAAGACGGAGAAAACGAATTTCCCTGTTTTAAACATGTTCTGTTGTCTCTATTCACCCATCATATTACCAAACAAAGTGGGAATATTTGACACATAATCAAGAGTAGAACATCATATTTGACACGTCTCTCAATCACATGTCGAAGTCGCTAGATGAAAGGATCTAGAATGGAAATCAATGACTTGTTCCTCTTGATCTGAACCGTGAACGCATGTTTATGAACGCTTCAAATCGAGAAACTGTTGGGAAACCCTGTCATAGAACTTTCAACAATCCCTTTCGACCTGGTTGCTTCTCATCAACAGTCCGAATTCATCGTCCCGACTGGGGATGGCGTACGCGGGACCATGCAGGTAGGACGCAAGCATAATGATACCCACTCGGTCACCGGGCAGCTGATCAAACCGTTTCTCACTTTGAATATACACGAGAGAGATCAGTTGTTGGTGCTGATCATCTAGCAGACAAACAGTACGTGGTAGAACGTTTGGAGGTGGCAGGACAACTTTGTGAATAAAATGAATCAGTATGATATGCAATGTGTCGATTGGTTTCCTCAGGGGATCTCGTTGGGGATTGTAGTCGGTGAAGAAAAGCACATACATAATTGATGACCGGGGGAGACTTATGCTGACCCTGCCTTGCGAGCTACCAAAATGCACTGATACGTGCCAGCGGGAA